AAGGAAATGATATTGGTGAGTAGAAACAGAGAGGGCCTCTCCTCTGTTTTTAGTCTGATAAATAGGAATTTCCAATTACAATAATACAATGAGAATTTGCTATAGTACACCATTGTTCAAGAAGGCTGGAGTGATAAACACATTTTGCTTATGAAATAAAGACATTTGTATTCAAAGTTGAATTTTGACTTTGGAAAAAGTCAAAGATTTTTTTTTCTAAAAGTAGAAAAATCATCAAAAAAGGTAAAAAAAAAAAAATCCAATGGAAAGAACAACTCAGAATCAGAACAACTGACCACTGTTGTTCAATCCTGATCATGAAAATGAGTCCACTGGTGACATCAAAATAATAACTAAAATGAATCCACTGGTGACATCAAAATAATAACTAGTTCAGGCTGATTGACGATGAAGATGATGATAATGATGATGGTGGAGCAGCAGAAAAGTGACTACAGCAAAAAATGTGATCTGGTCAAAAAGCAACTTCCGTTGCTCATCCTGGATTCACGCTCTTTAGCTTCAGGATAAATGTTTACTTTTAAATCTCCAACGTGCCTGAAGGTTGGTGGACCCTCAGGCTAAACATTAGAAACGCTAACGCTGCTGATGGTGGTGCACTACACCCTCTGCTGATGACTCTATCCTCACAGCTCAGGTAATAGATGATTCATTTAGACACTGAATCAATGCACGGTGCTGCCTTCATCATCACCATCAGGGCCCGGCTCATCCTTCCGGCCCTCGTTGTGAAGTGGCGTACAACAGTTATGAGTAGAATTAATGAATAAAATTGAACCTCCGTCTTCACCTCATCACTTGGTGAATGTTTCAAGACACGTCTCCACATTTATCTATTTCATCTGCTGCCGTATATTTAATTCAACAACTCAGTCTGCTCTTCAACTTTTGCAAGAAAAAAAAAGAAAAAAAAAAAAGAATTCCGTCCATGTCTTGCCTATGTTTATAAAAAACATATCAGCGAGCAGCCAACGGAGCAAGACCCTAAAAAAGAAACACAGGTAGAGCAGATCTGCGGTTCTGAGAGCCGGAGTCTGATCCTGCACTACTTTCTTTCTGCTGTCTGATAGAGGTGTGGGAGGAGAGAGAGCAGGGGAGGAGAGGAGTGGAGGGGAGAACAGAGGAGACGAGAGAAGAGAGGAAAGGTAAGGGTAGGAGAGGAAACAAGGGGAGAGCAGAGGAGAGAGAAGAAGGAGGGGCAGGCTGAGGAGAAATGAGGTTGAGAGGGAGGAAGAGGAATAAGAGGAGGAGGGTAAAGTAAAGAGGGCGAGGGGGGTGGAAGAGAACAGAGCGAGGGGGGGTGAATAGAAAGGGGTGGTGGTGCGAGAGGCTCTAACTCTGGCATAAAAGTAAATTCAAATGCATTATTCATGGCTCTCTGTGTCAAAATATCATTTACGTGTGCTGTGTTGACTCATGGCTCGTAAAATGAGAAGGACATGAAAAGAAAGAAAGGGGAGAGGAAATAAACAACTCGAGTCTTTCTCTTTTCTTGGCCATAAAATTAAATAAAATTAAAATTAAATTAAATAAAAATAAAGAACTTATCAGACATCTCTGTTCCCCACATCCTTCTAATTCTGGTTAATAAACAGCCACTGAGTCAACGAAGGTCTTCAAAGACGCAGGTTTTTGAGAGGATCCACAGGAGTTCCTACAGAAACACCTCACATCTGGAAGCTGAAGATTCACGACTACGGTTAGTGACCCTAAAACCCAAAAAACAGAGGCGATACTATATGAGGGAGACGGCTTCTTAACCCAATTGCCTGCTGCCGGTGAATGAATCTTCCATTGTCTTCTGAAAATCTGGGCCAAGATAACCAGCTGTTTTTTCAAGGTTTGTTTCCATCTTAATTCTGAGATATGGTGATATTCTGTATAATGAGTGCTGCCATTACTGTACTATCTTTAAGCCTCCAGCTCATCAGTTTGGAACCACTGTCTCCAACTACACTGGCACCACAGCAGCCCCTGCAGGAGCCTGGTGGAAGAACATCTGGCAACTTGTTAAGAGAGAAGAATCTCTTTGGGGCTGGAGACAAAGCCGTGAGGTTTAAGTATATATACTATGGTATTTGGATCAAGCGGAAGACAGTAGGCTTCATTCAGACCTTGGACCTTATATTTGAAAACTAATTCCTTAGATCTTACATGAGGACAAATATGTTTCTGACAAGTACTGCAATGCTCCAGTCGATTTAAAATATTATATGTGACCAAGTGATAACATAATATAAATATACAACCAAATATTTTTTTAACAAAAAGGTTACGCTTAAGATATTTGATGGTTTATTTCCTTAAAGGTTCATTGAATAGATTAGAATTGTTTCTTCTTTCTTTTAAATATAATTTCATACTGCTGTGTTCTTCATCAAGGATGTTTCCCTCTGTGTGTATTTTCTTTTCTCCTTTTCTTTACTGGTGGTGCTGAAGGCTGTGGGTTGAAATTAAACACCACCAGGTGTCAGTAGTTCAACTCAAAGGATGCGAAGCTGCCATGAAAACCCACAGAGGAAAATGGTGAGGTTGGAGGTATTAGCAGGACTTACTCAGCTTAGTCAAGTCCCTGAATAAAGCACTTTTCTTTAGCTCAGTAGGGCGAGGGCCACCTGTGGGACTTCTGAGCTACTGCAGGGAAAACTATTCTAATTCCTGTTTAGCAAGAAATGTTTTTAGATTAAAATTTAAATTACAAGAAATGCTTACTGCAATCATACAACTACTGTATTCCAATTTTTTTGTTCTGTACTGTAAGTACTTGGATAAAATAAAATAAAAAAATTGAATTTCCACTTCATATTTGTGTACATGCATATGTGTATGTACTCTACATGTATGTGCACAGAGCGTGTGTGTACGGTTGAGTGTGTAGCCAGTAAAGGTGGGGGCACGTATGACCTGCTCTACTTTTATTTTGATTTATAAGGCTGGTGGAGAGCATCATCACAGAATCGTTTCATCTTCTCTCCTTTATTACACCACATTTGTTTTCATTTTACTCCCAAGGCCTAGCTGAATACATTACACATTTCCCATGAGGCCCTGGGGCCAGCTCCTCCACCACGGGAGACAATAGGATGACGGGGAGGGATTTCTGAGCACCTCATTAGAGGCATTAGCATTATTTTGACTTGAACACATTATCACAGGATTATCTTTATTCCCAGTGTTACCAGGATAAGGAGACGCGTTTACAGGAGCATCAGTCAGGGATAGATCTTTGAACAACAAACTTAAAAAGTCTTTAAGCCAATGTAAAGAACCACCAGCACCAATACATGTTTTATTATCTCACGCCTTTAGCATCTTTCCTTTCCTTTCCCT